CCCAGGTCCTCTCAGCTAACACCGCAATTAAAAGGAATATTGTTCAGCGTCTGCTTTGTGTGTGGATCACTTAATTTAAGATAAATGAGGTCTGGGGGCCTCGGTGGACTTCTAGAGAGAGTGAACGAGTTTTCCTCCTTCACCAGGAAGCCCTCCTATGTTACTCCTCAGCCACCACCAGCTCTGGTCCCATCTCTTATCTGACCAGTTTGTTTATTGATTCATAATTCCAACAGGGGACTATCTAGATTCAAGGAGCAAGTAATATACAGTTTGGGGACTGGTCATGCACCCGTGAGCTCACGGCCTGGTGTGGGGAGGAGGAGGAGGAGGGAGAGGAGGAGGAGGAGGAGGAGGAGGAGGTACTGAGGGGAGTCTACACTTGGGATTATGGCAGTGATCAGAGACTCTCTGTATGCCCTGGTCCGGGAGGAGAGGCTTAGTGCTCAGGGACAGTACCTGGAGAAGAGGAATTGAACCCTGGAGAAAACAAAACAAAACTAAGAGGACAAAGCCTGTGCCAAAGCCCTGGGGTAGGATGGAGCTGTGGGAAGGCCCAAGGGGCTTGAGCAGAAGAAGGGAGCAACAGAGAGGGAGGGGATGTGGTGGGTCACGCAGGGTCCTGGGGCAGCAGGGGATGGGGAACTCGGCTTTGTGCCCCCCTGCCCCGTGGGATGATGGGGGCCATGGGAGGGGCTGTGGGCAGAGGGGGGAGGGACAGGACTCTGCTCTCTCATGCGTGCCCCGTGGTAGTTGCTTGGCGGACTGGCAGGTCCAGGAGCAGGTGCCTGGTGTTTTGAGGGGAAGGAAGGTGTGCACTATAGGTATTTTGGAATCGGTACTTATTTGATTTACGCAGTGATCAAATGTGGGCAGGGGTCCCGGTGGTCCCCAGATCTAGCTGAGTCCCAGGGGCTCAGAGCTATGCTCAGCTGGGGTGGGGGCTGCCAGAGGTGCTGGTGTAGGGGTCAGGTGTAAATGGCCACGTTGAATGTGAGACCCACGAACTCCCACCCCCAATCTGGAGATATCTGGTGACAATAGAACCCCAAGTCTGGTGCTAGAAGAGGCCCAGGCTGGAGGACTGTGGGTGTCAGCAAGCGCAGAGGGGGTCTTGGGGCACAGCCAGAGAGGCTTGTGGGCAGAGGAGGGGACGGGACCCAACGCTGGGCCCTAGAAGGAAAGTAGGAGCATGGTAGGTCAGCATGGTATCCCAGGTGAACTGCTGGAAAGGAAGACAGAGAGCAAGGTGACATTGGGCTCAAAATGTAACAAAAGTCGGCACCCATGGCTCACGCCCCTGTAATCTCAGCCACTCAGGAGCTGACATCTGAGGATCGCAGCTCAAAGCCAGCCTGGGCAAGCAAGTTGGTGAGACTCTTATTTCCAATGAACCACCAGAAAACCAGAAGTGGAGCTGTGGCTCAAGGAGTAGAGTACAAGCCCTGAGAGAAAAGAATTCTAGGATAGCACCCAGGCCATGAGTTGAACTCCTAGGACTGGCTTGTGTGTGTGTGCACACACACGCACCCAGTAAGAAAAGAGCTCATAGAGGTCGGGTGCCAGTGGCTCACATCTGTCATCCTAGCTACTCAAGAGGCTGAGATCTGAGGATAGCAGTTCAAAATCGTGGCAGCAAAGTCTGTGAGACTCTTATCTCCAATAAACCACCAGAAAACTGGAAGTGGCGCTGTGGCTCAAGTGGTAGAGCGCTAGCCTTGAGCTGAAGAACTGAGGGACGGCGCCCAGGTCCAGAGTTCCAGCCCCAGGACCTACTAAAACAACAAAAACATAGGAGTTTAAAGACATTACTAATATTTCATGGAAATGCAAATCATGCTGATTTAATGACTAAACACTGAGTGTATTAACTTATCATCTTGTGCCAACATAAATGTGTCGAATTAGCCAGGCGCTGGTGCCTCAGGCCTGTCATCCTAGCTACTCAGGAGGCTGAGATCTGGGGATCGAGGTTCAAAGCCAGCCCGGGCAAGAACGTCCATGAGACTCTTTATCTCCAACAAACCACAAGAAAACTGGAAGTGGAGCTGTGGCTCAAGTGGTAGAGCGCTAGTTTTGAGCTGAAGAGCTGAGGGACAGCGCCCAGGCCAGAGTTCAAGCCCCATGACCGAAAAAAAAAATGTGTGCAATTACTATGTATTGATTAAAAGCCATGACCATGACAATCACTCTACTTCTCTCTCTCTCTCTCTTCCCAGCCCCTAAACTGGTTATTTATTTATTTATTTTGGTCGGTCGTGGGGCTTGAACTCTGGGCCTGGGCGCTGTCCCTCGGCTCTTCAGCTCAAGGCGAGCGCTCTACCACTTGAGCCACAGCACCACTTCTGGTTTTAAACTGGTTATTTTTGAGATCACGTCTCATCTTCTACCCTGGTCCCTGCTTGGACTACAGCCCTCCTATCTTAATCTTCCTGTTGTAGATGAAATAGCAGAGGGGTGCCACCATGTCAGGTCTCAGAGACTTTTCTGCCTAGGCTGAGGGTGAACCTCCATCCTCCCAACATCAGTCCCCTAAGCACCTAGGATTACTTGAGACTCTTGACTCCAAAGAACCACCAAAAAGTCAGATGTGGAGTTGTGTGGCTCAAGTTGTAGAGAGCAAGCTTTGAGAAAGAAAGAAAGAAAGAAAGAAAGAAAGAAAGAAAGAAAGAAAGAAAGAAAGAAAGAAAGAAAGAAAGAAAGAAAGAAAGAAAGAAAGAAAGAAAGAAAGAAAGAAGGAAAAAGAAAGAGTCAGAGACAGCACCCAGGCTCTGAGTTCAAGCCCTAGGACTGGCATACCTGCACAAAAACATGTAGGGGTGAATGAATTTCTAATCCTTGAGGAAGTGGGGTCGGTGAAATAATTCACCTGCCCTCTCAAATGCCCATCTCTTTCAAAGGGAAGATTTGGGCCTGGAGAAATTATTTTGGGTCCCCTGAGGGAGTCTGATATAATCACAGGAGTCTTTATAAGAGGGTCAAGGGCTTGCCAAGGATGAGGAGTAGAGAGGACACCAGCCTGGGATACCAGGCCTCTGGGAGCTGGGACAGCCCAGACTTGGGCCCTCCCAATGGCCCTGGGTGGGTGGTGGCGGGGGAGGGGGGGTGGGGGGGTGGGGGTGGGGACAGGGGAGGGGGAGGAGGACCAGCTTGCCCCAGAGAGGCCCGACCTGTTACATGGAAAAACAACAACAACAAAACCCTGCATTTCTAGCCAGGAAATCTGCATCATTTCTGGCCACAGAAATCAAATGCAGCATGTGATTTTGAGTTTTAAGAATATTACATGAAAATATAATTTATTCTAGCCAGTTGTTGGTGGCTCACACCTGTCATCCTAGCTACTCAGGAGGCTGAGATCTGAGGATCATAGTTCCAAGCTAGCACCGTCAGGAAAGTCTGTGAGACTTTTTTTTTTTTTTTGCCGGTCGTGGGGCCTGAACTCTGGGTCTGGGCACTGTCCCTCAGCTCTTCAGCCTAAGGCTAGCGCTCTACCACTGGAGCCACAGCGCCACTTCCAGCTTTTTTCCTTTTTGCTTATGTGGTGCTGAGGAATCAAACCCAGGGCCTCATGCTTGCAAGGCAAGCGCTCTACCACTGAGCAACCTTCCCAGCCCGTTTGTGAGACTCTTATCTCCCCTAAATTACTGGAAAAGCTGGAAGAGGAGCTGTGGTTCAAGGGGTAAAACGTAAGCCTTGAGCAAAGGAATCTCAGGGACAGTGCCCAGCGCTCAGGTTCAAGCCCCAGATCCACCACACACACACACACACACACACACACACACACACACACCACACTATGTGTATGTATAATATACTTATTATAGATAATATATTTAATATATAATTATATAATACATACACATGTTTATCTATTTAATATATAAATGTAATTTCTCCTCCTCCTCCTCTTCTTCTCCCTTCCTTCTTTCCTTTCTCTTTCATTTTTCCCCAGATTGGGTCTTGAACACACACACACACACACACACACACACACACACACGAATGGAAAGTTCTATTCACAAAGCTCCTTAAGGAGCTGGACATCGAACGGGGATTCCTTACAGAAACTGAAAATGGCTCTTGCTGCTGGCATCGCGTCTGTGATAGGAACTCAGGGCAGATGAGCTTGATTTGCGATGGAGTAGCAAACTTTTTCGTCTCTCTTGGATTCTCCTGGGCGGTGTAGTTAATTGGGCCAGTAATGAAGGTCTGTGCGCGTGCGCGCAGGTGTTCATCCGCCTCTGCTCCCCGGGCCTCTCCCTCGGGGCTCCCGGGCCGCGGGCGGCCGTGTTGACACGAGGAAGGGACACTGTTGCACAGGTTGCAAAGTGGCAACATTGTACCTGCATGGTCAGAGGGTCGGAAGAGCGGTCCTCCGCGGGTTTCCGTAGTGTAGCGGTTATCACGTTCGCCTCACACGCGAAAGGTCCCCGGTTCGATCCCGGGCGGGAACAGCTTTTTCTTGTTGCTTTCTCTCATTGTACAACTTTTTTCTCTTTGTAACGAGAGCAAATGTCTGACACGAATCCTAGCACCGCTCGTTTTCTCTGTTTCTTTTATATTTTAAAAGTTTTTTTTTTTAACAGAAGTGTGAGGAAATGAAAAGGCCATTCTGAATCCTTCAGTTGTGCAAGAAAAGCGAAGTGCGTTGGCCGGGAATCGAACCCGGGTCAACTGCTTGGAAGGCAGCTATGCTAACCACTATACCACCAACGCCCGCTCGGAAAGGAGTTTTCTCTTAGACCATTTATCAGAAAACTCAGCGGTTGGGCTGGACCGTACCAGATCCCGCGGGGGTGTTCGCCTCAGGATTTCTCGCCCGCCCGGAAATCAAACGTCGTCTGCAGCGCTCGCCGCACGGCTGGTCTCCGTCCCCCCCCGGAGCTCTGTGCGTATTGGTACCGCCCAAACCTTATCCAATCACAGGCCGCCGCTTGGGCAGCTCGACTTCCGGGTCAAAGGAAGCTGAGCCGGCGGGTCCCCGTGTCCGCCGCCGCCGCTGTCCCCCCGCGCCCGCCACTTCCGGGGCCGCAGTCCCGGGCATGGAGCTTCGCGCGTGAGGCGCCGCCGGCCCCGGGACGCCTTTGCCCAGCCCGGCCGCCGCCTCGCATCCCGGTGAGCAGCGTCCGGAGCGCCGCGTCCCTGTTTTCCCACGGCCTTGGGCCCGCCGTGGACCGGCCCCCCCCCCAGCCTCCGCCCGGGCCTCCGCGCGCCCCGGGGCCCGCCATCGGGGCGGCCCCCTCCCCACCCCAGTCCCCCTGCCTCAGTTTCCCTGGCGTCCCGCACCCCCCTCTCGCTCTCTGACCCGCCTCAGGGCCCCCGCCGGCCGGGGCACACCTCGCCGTCTGTCCGGTTCCCGACCCCGCGTCCCGTCGGTCCGTCCCGGCGGCGCTGCCCCGGCCGCCCCCCCCCCCCCGGGTCGAGGCCCCTTCTGGAGTCGGTGCGCCCGCCGCGCCCAGCCACCGGCGCCCCCCCCCCCCGCAGACCCTCCGCGAGGGGCGGCCCGGCCCGCGGACGCGCGGCATGCCACCCCTAACTTTCCCAGGCCCCGATCGCCCCGAACTGCCGCCTGGTCCCGCTCCCGGGTCAGTGCAGCCCCACCCCTGCCCGCCTCGGCACCCCTCTGTCCGGCCTCTATCCCAGGCAGCGGCCCCCTGGGGCTGGGGGTGGGGGGGTGCTTTCCAAGAGCTGGGGGATTATGGCCCAGCCGGTGTGAAAGGTGGGCAACCGGACCCCGGAGGCGCCAGTTGGGTCCTGGGGTGAGGGAGGGGGGGCAACTGGACAGCCGGGATGGCTTGTCTCCCAAGGGGGACAAATCCCAGCGGGTGCAGATTCCCGAATGCGGAGTGGAATGGGCCTATGATGGTAGAAAATGAGCAGGCCGAGGGCGGTCTAGCCGCTGTCGTGGCCTTCATGATGTCTTCATTCTATCCAGATTCAGGACTCTGCCTGTGGCTGAATGGAAGTTTCTGGGAGCCTTTAGGAAGTTGGCCTGTGCTGGGGCGCGGCAGCCAGGCAGGCTGGGAGAAGGGGGGATGGTCGTGTGGTGGACAGATTTGTGCCATAGCTCTGGAATTTGGGATTGACAGGAAGTGGCTTTTCAAGGCGGCCCTGGGGTCACTGACCTAGGGAGATGGCTGTAACTTGGTGGGTCTGACGAAGGCTTTGCCTTCCATCCATTGTCCCACCCAGCTGTCCCTGGAAAGAGCCTAGCCAGGAAACCGGAGATAAAAAGGGATGAGGGCTGATGCAACTGGATGGAGCCGGGGGCGTGGCCGTCCCTGTCCACCGCACCCAGGGATCCACATTCAGCCCTGGGGCTTCAAGTTGGTGCTCACCTTGCTGTGGTGTTTAGTGACATACTTAGCTGACAGTCGTTTAGTTTCTATCATGTCAGGTGTCATAAGAGCTCTGTGTGTGTGTGCCAGTCCTGGGGCTGGAAGTCAGTGCCTGGGAGCGGTCCTTGACCTTTTTAGCTAAAGCCACAGCTCTGCTTCTGACTTTTTGGTGGTTAACTGGAGATACGAGTCTCACAGACTTTCGTGCCCAAGCCGACTTTCAGTTTCCTCAGTAGCTAGGATTACAGGCGGGAGCTACCAGTGCTCATCTGAACCCAACTCTCTGGTCTGGAGTCCTCATCTTTGTCACTGGGTTCAAAACAATCTCATTTTGCCCCTTCTGCTCTGACCTCTGTGTTCCATGTCCTGATGTGACATTCTGTGTGTGTGTGTGTGTGAGTGTGTGTGTGTGTGTGAGTGTGTGTGTGTGTGTGAGTGTGTGGTGTGTGTGAGTGTGTGGTGTGTGTGAGTGTGTGTGGTGTGTGTGTGTGGTGTGTGTGAGTGTGTGTGTGGTGTGTGTGTGTGGTGTGTGTGTGAGTGTGTGTGGTGTGTGTGTGTGTGGTGTGTGTGTGAGTGTGTGTGTGTATGTGAGTGTGTGTGTGGTGTGCGTGTGGTGTGTGAGTGTGTGTGTGTGGTGTGTGTGGTGTGCGTGTGGTGTGTGTGTGTGTGTGTGGTGCGTGTGGTGTGTGTGTGTGAGTGTGTGTGTGGTGCGTGTGGTGTGTGTGTGGTGTGTGTGTGGTGTGCGTGTGGTGTGTGTGGTATGTGTGTGGCGTGTGTGGTGTGTGTGTGTGTGAGAGTGTGTGTGTGTGAGTGTGTGTGGTGTGTGTGAGTGTGTGTGGTGTGTGTGTGGTGTGTGTGTGATTGTGTGTGTGGTGTGTGTGTGTGTGGTGTATGTGGTATGTGTGTGTGGTGTGAGTGTGTGTGTGTGAGTGTGTGTGTGTGAGTGTGTGTGTGTGTGGTGTGTGTGGTATGTGTGTGTGGTGTGAGTGTGTGTGTGTGAGTGTGTGTGTGTCTGGTCCTGAGGCTTGAACTCAGAGCTTGGGCCGCTGTCCCTGAACTTTTTCACTCTACCACGCAGCCACAGCACCACTTCTGGTTTTCTGGTGATTAATTGGTGATAAGGGTTCTCATAGATTTTCCTGCCCCGGCTGGCTTTGAACAGTGATCCTGGGCGTGGATAGGATTACAGCTGTGAGCCACCAGCACGCAGCTCCTGAGCTTTTTTGCTCAAGGCTAGCTAGTGCTCTACAACATGAGCCCCAGCTCCACTTCTGGCTTTTTGGTGGTTAATTAGAGAAAAGATTTTCTGGGCTGGCTTCAGACTGAGGTCCTCAGATCTCAATCTCCTGAGGAGTTAGGGTGACAGGCACCCAGCTCCAGCTGTGGGGCTTGAACTCAGGGCCGGGGTCGGGTGGGGGGTTGTCCCTGAGCTCTTTTGCTCAAGGCTAGCTTACTACCACTTAACCAATTCCGGTTTTCTGGTGGTTCACTGGGGATAAGGGTCTCACCGACTTCCCTACCAGGGCGGGCTTCCTACCGCAATCCTCAGATCTCAGCCTCCTGAGTCGCTAGGATGACAGGCGTGAACCCTCAGAGCCCGGCCTGGTGCCCGGCCTGGTGTGGTGACGTTCTTAATTCTTAATGTCTGAACGCCTTCCCGGCGTGAGTCCTGGCTCTTCTGCGCCAGAGGGGGGGGGGGTTGGGCAGGGTCCCCTTGGCGTTGGGCAGTGGACTGGGCCTCCCCCTCCAGCGATGGGGGAGGGGCTGCCGCCTGGGATCGGGGCCTGGTGTGGGGGGGGAGGGTGTCAAGTAGAAATGACAAATGGACTTACCGAGCGGCCGACGTCCCCGCGATGCCGCCCGCCCCCTGCGCCGGGCCTCCTCGCCGGACCTCAGGGGGCGCCTGGGGCCCCGCAGTGCCGGGCCGCGGGGCGCGGCGGGGGCAGGGGGGAGGCCGGGCGGCGGTGGACAACAGCGGTCGTTGCCAGGACGACGAAGCGCTGGTCCAGGCTGTGGCAGCCGACAGGTGGCCCGGCGGATGAATGCGCAGGGGAGGCGCCGGCTGGAGCGGGAGGCGCCTGGGCGCGCGGCTGCTGCGGGGCGGAGCCGGCGCGTGGGGGGGGGCTGAGGGGAGGGGAGGGTGGAGGAGGCGGGGAGGGGGGAGAGCGAGAGGCCCCCGCGGCCCCCGAGGCCCCCCGCGGCCGGGGTCGGGAGATGCCGAGGCCGCGGCGTGATTTCCGGCAAGTGCCGCGCGGACAGCGACGCCGGAGCCCCTGGGAGCTCCGCAGGGACTTGGTTTCCGGTTGTGGGGCCGAGGCGTGTTCAGGGGGTCTCCGGGCGGCACCGGGGAGCACCCGGAGGCGCGGCCGGGCACCCCGCGGCCGGCGATGGGTAACTCCTTGCCGGGAGAGCACGGCCCCGGCCGGCGCGGCAGCGCGGCCGCCGCAGCCCCACGGCCCCCCGGCCCGGGCTGCGCGCGCGGAGCCCGGTGCGCGGCCGATGCGGCCGCGGCCGCAGCCCCGCTCCGCCCGGGCCCGGGCCCCGGCTCCGCGGCCCCCCTGCGCCCTCCCGGTCACCCGGTGCGGCTAATGCAGAAGGTCAAGAAGTTGCGCGTGGACAAGGAGTTCGCGGGAAGTTGGCCGAGGTAAGGGGAGGCCGAGGCTGGGGCCGGGCCGCGGCCGCGTTCCGCCCGCGCACCGCGGCGCGCCGCCCGTTCTGCGGTTCTGCGGGAGGCAGCGAGGCCTTGGCGCGGGGTGGGCCGCCCGGGCTCCGGGGGGGGGGGTCCCCCAGCAGCATCTGCCACCCTCACAGCCGCCGCCGTCGCCCTCCCCCAGCCGTGACAGCCTCGGCGTCTCCAGACACGGACCCGTTGGCAGGGTGTGCGCCGTGGCCATCCTGGATCTTGGGGGTTCCCCTCCTCCTCTGACTTGGTAGGATCGTGGGCCTTCAGACCTCCCACCCTGGGTTTCCTCGCCCCAGGGCCGTCCTCATCTTGAGTACACTGCAAACTGCTTAACCCGAGTCCAAGGCCTCGGGTGGAAAGACCTCGGATCTCCTGCCGCGGAAAGACCGTGGGATCTCCTGTGTTACGGGAGCCAGCCTGGCACGTTTTTTCCTTCCTTTTTGATTTTTGTTGCTACTAGGATTTGAACCCAGGGCCCTGCACTTGCTAGGTGGAGCTCTACCGCCGAGACTCCGCCCCCTGCGTCGTACCCCCTCCCACCACCGTGGAGCCACACCCAATCACTAAGCCCTACCCATCCTGGGAGCCCAGCTCCTGCTGTGGAGCCCCGCCTCCTGCTGCGGAGCCCCTCCTCCCAATGCAGAGTCACACCCAATCACCGAGCCCAACCCATGATGAATCCCACCTCCCACCATGGAGCCCCGCCTCCTGCCGTGAAGTCACACCCAATCACTGATCTACACCCCATCGTGCAGCCCCACCTCCCACTGCAGAGCCACGCCCCACCCGGGAGCCACGTCCGCTGGTCTTTCTCTTTTTTCTTTTTTTTTGTTTTGTTTTTTGCTGGTTATGGGGCTTGAACTCAGGGCCTGAGCGTTGTGTCTCTGAGCCTCTTTGTGTCCAAGGTTAGCACTCTACCACTTGAACCACAGAGCCACTTCTGGCTTTTTCTGAGCATTTTATTGGAGATAAGAGTCTCACAGGCTGCCCTGCCGGGTCTGGCTGCAAGCTGTGATCCTCTGATCTCAGCCTCCTAAGTAGCTAGGATGACAGGCGTGAGCTACTGGCTCCTGGGTTGTTTGCTTGCTTTCTTTGTTGCATCTGAGTAGCTGGGACCATAGGTGTTTGCCCCCCCTTTTTTCCCCCCAAGCAGTACCCCGGTTCTGATGCCCTGGAGCAGTGTGGTGGCTTTGGGGTCTGGGGAGGTGTGGACAGGACAGCTCTGAGCCTGGCTGTTGGTCTGTGTACAGATGGATTAGGGGAAGCCCTAGTGGATGGTCATCCCTACCCGTGCTTGTACCATGTCCCAGGTGGGCAGAGGACAAAGCCAAAGGCCTTGTGACAGACTAAAAGAGCCCCACTCCCCCTCCCCTTCCTTGCTGCCAAGCCCCTTTGGGGAGCCCCGGCACCCCAGGGGCTGCAGTAGTGCTGAGAACCTACAGTTTCTCCCTGTCTTTGGCTGTCTTCCCTCACCGGTGGTGTCTGAGGGGTGCCAGGCAGATGCACAGGGCTGTCCCCCTGCAAATGACACCACAGAACCCCAGCTGGGCTTCGGTAGTGACCTTGTCAAAAAGACCCAAGTGATCTCTGGTGGTGTGGCGCCGGGCAGGCTTGAGTGCCCGCCGTCTGCCCCTCGCCCCGCTGGGGAAACCCTTGACTCGAGGAGCTGTACAGCACAGTCACCGTTGGCACATAGGAGCCTCGCGGTCACCTCCCCTGTCACCTGCTCCTTCAGCCTCTCTGCAGCCTCAGCTTTGCTTCTGGGTACAGAGGGGGAGATCCAGGTGGCCAGACAGTAAGCCCCAGGTCTCAGCCAGTCCTGGAGCCCAAGCTGGAAGGTTCTAGCCACACCTAGAAGGTTCCTGGCCATCTCTCCCCATGTCTCATCTAATCTCCCACCTCCTGGATTGCGGCTTTGCTTCCTGGGTTCTCTGCAGGGATCGGAGGCAAGAGAATTCTTTGGGGTTCTTAACTACGAAAATGATCCATAGGGTCTTAGAAAGGCCTTGCCAGGCTTTCAGCTCTGTGGTTCTGATTTTGTTTTATTTTTCCTGATGAGCAAGGCTGGAATTGGGGAGGCATAGTTTAAGGAGTGCTTATGCAGGTTAAAGGTGCCCCTCAGGCTGGGGTTTTAGGGTTTATTGCTAGCCACCCTTTGGGTTCCTGAGCCCCCAGACTGTCCTGGCCTCTAGCTAGCACTGCCCATGGCTCCCTGCTGCCCTGGAGATGGAGGGTGTACCCGGGCGCGCCCTGGGTGAAAGCTGCCATAGGTCTCTATCCTCTGTCGATTTGGTGTTTGATGGCTCTGGACCGTGGTGGTCCATGGCCCATGGCTTGGTAACGTGTCCGGAGCACTGGGCTGACTGGCCCAAGTCCCCTGCCAGCGAAGGGGGGGAGCCCTCTGTCCTCGCCGGGGTGTGGCAAGGAACAGCTCACCATGGGGCGTGGGGGGCCACCTGCCTCAGGTCAGCTGCGCCCCTCCCCAGCCTGGCCCGGCTGCCAGGGAGGGACGTTGTGGGGTCTTGGCGTGGGACACAGGGTTGCATGGCGGGCTTTGGGGGGCCCTGCCTGCAGCCCCTTAGTGCAGGCAGGCTGCTCCTAGTGGAGCCCTTTTCTCATCCCCCAGCCTGTCTGCCTCCCTGTGCAGGGGGTGGCCACCTGCCCTCAGCCTCCCTCCTCCTTCCCTCCCAAAGTTGGCCCGGGTCCTTCTGATGACAGTCCCTCTGTGGACCTTTCTGTTGTTGTTGTTTGCGAGTTCTGGGGCCTGAACTCAGGGCCTGGGCACTGTCGCTGACCTTTTGCTCAAGGCGACCACTCTAAGAGGGTTTGAGCCACAGCACCATTTCTGGCTTTTTCTGTGTATGTGGTACTGAGGAATCGAACCCAGGGCTTCATGCCTGTGAGGCGAACACTGTACCACTAAGCCACCTGCCCAGCCCAGGTTTCTTGACATAGCCTAGGCTGATCTAAAACGGGTGCTCTTCCTTCCTCAGCCTCCTGTGGGCTCGTGTGACAGCCAGCTCCCTGTCCCTGGCTCTGAGGGTGTCTACGGGCCAGGGCTGTGTTGGGAGTCATGCAGCCTGCACGGGAGCGAGGCTGTGCGGGCTCGCCATGCCAGACCACTGGTGCTGCCGGAATCGGGTCCCATAGCTGGCTGTTTAAATTTCCTAAAACAAATATTTACCTGCTTGGTCCCGGCCAGTCGAGCCTGTGTGCGAAGTCGGAGGCCAGGCAGCATGGGGGAGGGAGCTGCCCTGGACGGTGGGCAGCTGCTGGCGTGAGTGGGGGTGTCAGTTCATCAGACTCTGGGAGGGTGCACAGACTCCAGCTCACCTGGAGGCGTCCAGGGCAGTCTCCCCAGTGGCTGGTAGCTTCTCACCCCGCCCCTCAGGCCCCATGCCTCCCATCAGGCTTGGCGAGAGTCATTCGCTCTGCAGTCCTCCCCGAGCCAGCCTCTAGGCTGCCAGGGTCCACAGTGAATGGGACAGATACGGGGGAGACAGGTCTGAGTAATTGAAGTGACCCATGCTGACAGGGGCAGTGGTCAATCAGGTGGCATGTGAAAGATGACCAGAAAAACCAGCTTTGTTTGGGCTAGAAGGCCTAAAAGATTTTGAGGCACCTGCCAGAACAGTAAAACTGTCCATTTATAAGTCAGTCAAGCAGACAGAGGAAAGCATGTTCCAGGCAGAAAAGATAGCGTGTGCAAAGGCCCTGGGGTACATGAGAAGAAGTCTAGCCCATTTGAGCAGTCCACCAAAGGCCAGTTTAGTTTCCCTGGGGCACAGTTTTTGGCGGAGGGGATGGTGGGGGGAGTGGGTAGGGCTAGCCTTTGAAGGCCATGATGAGGACTAGGGTTTGGAGTGTTTTCTTTTGCAGTGCTGAGGATGGACGCAGGGCCTCATATATACCGTAGCTTCAGTCCTGGGGGCTGTGGAAAGCCAGGAAGAGCTTTAAGGCTGAGAAGGGTGCTTTGTGGGCCGAGTCCAGGAAGATGGCTTCAGGCCCTGGCTTGGATTGGCAAAGCCATTGGTGGCTTCCCAAGAAGAGGAATAGCGGAGACCTCTTTGGGTGTCGGACAGGCCGGTGTAAAATGAGAACGGGGGAGCCCTCTCACCATCTCCCCCCACCCTTTCAGCTTCTCACTGCCTTCCGAGGGGACCGAGAGGATGTCTGGGGCCCTGCCTGAGGAGCAGGCCGCCGCCACCACCGCCGCCGGTGACATGGACGAGGCGGCCGGCCGCTTCCAGGTGCAGAAGCACTCGTGGGACGGCCTCCGGGGCATCATCCACGGCAGCCGCAAGTACTCGGGCCTCATCGTCAACAAGGCCCCGCACGACTTCCAGTTTGTACAGAAGACAGACGAAGCCGGCCCTCACTCCCACCGCCTTTACTACCTAGGTAAGCCGGGCCTTGGCCACGCGCCGTGGAGTCAGGAGGCAAAGAGCCTCTGCGGGGGTGCACCCGCGAAAGCAGGGCAGGACCCAGGTCCTCCGCGGGAGCCGTGTCTCCCCCGCAGCCTGCCCCACGCGGCAGGTGAAAGGGGCCTTTGCTGAGGACAGGACACCATCCATGACTGCGAAATTGCCTGCCACCGCCCCTTCCTTTACAGCCCGGTCCTCGTCCAGGCTCTGGGGCTCCCACAGCCTCGGCAGCAGGCCAGGCCTGGCCCCCCACCAAGGGACAGGATGTATGTGAGGAGCTGGCCACGGGGCCTGACTTCGCCTCCAGGGCTTCCCGGGCTGGGAGGAAGGAGGCCTGCCAGCCTGCTGCTTCAGCCTGTTTCTTCATGTGGCTGTGGGATCAAAGATCCGGGTCTGTCTCCTCCCTGGGCACAGAGGGGCTGATCATTCTCCCGCGTGGCATCCTGGGCCTTGCAAAGCGCCGGGCAGCTAACAGAGACCTCCACCCACTCCACGCCAGCAGCTCCCCAGTGGCGACAGCCACATGTCCCCAGACATTACCCCATGACCGGGGCGGGGGGCAGGTCCCCCACAAGTTGGTTCACTGTCCTAGGGGCACGATGGCACTGAATTCACCCTCAGGCCCCCTCCTCCGCCCCCAACGTCCCCCACTTGTCCTCTGGTGAGTGCAGTGAGCGGGCTGACCGTGTGCTGGTGTGCCAGAGCGAGATGGACGCCCCAGGATCTCCTCCCCTGCCCTGCTCATGGCCCTCCAGAGGCCCAGGTGGCAGTGCGTGGACATCGCCAGATGAAAACCATACAGACACAGTAGGGAGTCGGGTTTACGCAACCCCGGGCGTCCGGGGCCCGCCCACCCCATCTCCTGGCTGGTGGCTTTCCAGTAAGCACTAGGAGCAGCGTGGCCAGCACAGAGCATGCTCAGCTCTGCCAGGGCAGCAGCCGGGGATGCCTGTTCGTTGGCTTGTCCCCCATCCCTGCTGTCTCTGCCTCCCTACTCACGCAGCGTTGGACGTTTCCCCTCTGCCTCCCTCCCTCGTAGAAGGACGCAGGCACAAGAAGCTCACCCCAGTTTGAGTCCTGCTCTGTCCACAGCTCACAGCCCCCTGTCCTACCACACAGGGTGGCATTTGCATTCAGGCCCGGAGAAAAGGGGCATTTTAAAAAAAATTCATTGACGTTATTATTTATCATAGAGGAGATGTACAGAGGGATTACAGTCTCATGAGTCAGGTAATGAGTACATTTCCTTTTGTACAGTGTCTTCCGCTCCCTCATTCTCTCCTAGCCCCTCCCTCCCGTCTCCATCTACGAGTTATATAGGTCACTTTCATCAATGGGAAAGGGACATTTTTTCTTTGGAGGCTGCTATTCAGTCTCTAGGAACTGTCAGCGAGGGATGGAGACACTCAGAGCTGGCCTCAGCCACAAAGGACACCTCCGAGTTGGAATGCAGGGTGTCACATAGAAGCCATGGGCATAAAGCCCACTGGCCTCAGGAAGTAGACCGGGAGCCTTCCAGAACCCAGGCAGGGCCCTGTGTGCTGGGGCCTACCCCACCAGGGCTGCCCACCTCCCCTCCCCCACCTCCCAGGCCCCAGGGCTCCACAGAAATGGAGGATCTCTACCCAGGTCTCTGGGAGAAGGGATCGGATTGGCCCATTGTAGATCAGATGGTCCAATCAGCTTCTGTGCTTATCTCTGGTGGATGAGTCCTTATCAGCTTTTCCCCAGGGTTCCAGAAGGAATCTGATTGGCTCAGCCTAGGTCAGATGGTCCAATCAGCTTTCCCTGTGCTGTGTCTGGGTTAGTGAGAATGCCCCTGAGAAGAGGCTGCTGAGAACCCTGCCTGGCATCTGGCCGAGGCTCCAGAGAGGGCTGTGCACCTGGCAGAGACCCCAAAACCGGCCTGCAGCAGTCGGGCACCGTGCTGTCTGTTGGGGTGATGGTCTTGTCCTTGTTACTAACATTGCCAGGCCACAGCCCATGACTGGACAGGGTGTCAGGACAGATCCAGACACCTGCTGTGCTATGACTGCAAAGTGGGTGACAGGGGAGGGCACAGCTAGAAAGCAGTCAGGGAGGGACCGTGGTGGCTGTGACTGACAGCCTCGTTTCCCGCCTGCCACCCCCCCCCAGTGCCAGGTGTCATGGGGACAGTGCCAGCAGCAGCATGTCCTGCAACACACTTCGCTGGCACCCTTGATGTGGTCACTTATTAATCAGCTGCTGGGGGGGGAGGTGTGGCTCCAGTGTCCGTGGCAGGGCCTGGCTGTACTTGGCCACTTCCTGTTTGGAAGGAAGGTCTCAGCCACCCCCAGGGACTCCCGCAGGCAGGGCTGTCCCCACAGAGCACACGTGTTTGCTAGAGAATGGCCACCAGCCCTCTTGTCCTCCTGCCTCACAGTGTCCTGGGTGGCACTGGAGTTTGAACACAGGGTCTCTTGCTTACTTGATAGAGGCTCTATCACTTGAGCCATGCCTCAACCCTTGTGGCTTGCTTTATGCCCAGGCATATGCCCAGAACCATTTGTCCTCCTATTTTGTTTCTGGGCTAGCACACCACTGAACAAGACAGAGCCTCACAAACGCGTATGTGCAGGCCAGGTGCCAGTACCTCAGGCCTGTCATCCTAGCTACACAGAAGGCTGAGATCTGAGGATCATAGCTCCAAGCCAGCCTGGGCAGGAAGGTTCATAAAACTCTCATCTCCAGTTAACCACCAAAAAACCCAGAAGTGGAGATGTGGCTCAAGGGGTAGAGTGCTAGCCTTGAGTGAAAAAGCTAAGGGGCAGTGTCCAGGCCTGGAGTTCAAGCCCTAGGACTGCACCTAAACAAACAAAATCTCAGGAAAAAGCCAGGTGCTGGTGGCCCCCACCTGTAATCCTAGCTACTCAAGAGGCTGAGATCTGAGGATCAGGTTTCAAAGCCAGCCTGACCCTTATCTCCAATTAACCACCAGAAAACTGGAAGTGGTGCTGTGGCTCAGTGCCAGGTAAATGGCGAAAACGTCTTGTACGCTAGTCAGTCAGCACAAAGTCCTCACTTGGCAGGTACTGGCACCTTATCAGAAGGGTTAGGTCAAATCAGTGGTGGTCACTGAGGTGTGATGGCTGCCCCCAAGGCATGCTGGGAGATGTGTGGGGACACCTGTCACTCACGTGCTTCTGACGTGGAGCAGATGCAGTGCACACCCTGCACACAGGATACCACCCGGCTGGTTCTGGCAGGAGGCCGGTGGACGGCCAGTGGCCTTGGGGAGACTGTGACAGGGACACATCCCCACTCCTCTCCACAGGCCTTCCCTCCCTCCCTCCCTACATCCCACACCAGCAGAACCCCTGCCATGTATGGGGGGGGGGGGACATGGAGCAGAGCCTGCCCGCGGGAGCTGCGCCTGGCCTCAACCTGCAAGCCAAGGGGCCTGGGGCTGCCACTTAGGACCACTTCCTGGTGCTGGCCAGGGTCCCCATCCTGGGTTTGTTCTCTTTCCCCAGGTATGCCTTATGGCAGCCGGGAGAACTCGCTTCTCTACTCTGAGATCCCCAAGAAGGTCCGCAAAGAGGCCCTGCTGCTGCTGTCCTGGAAGCAGATGCTGGACCACTTCCAGGTGAGCCACACCTGGGAGCCCAGCGGGCCAGGTGGGGACCAAGACTGCCCCCACACACCGAGAAGAGCCCTTATCCCAGCCTCTCCACTTTCTAACTGCATGAAGGGCCAGGAACCGGCTAGGAGGAAGGAGGTCCTTCCAGGAGTCTGGCTAATGATTAACACCCCTCCACGACAGGCCCTGGGGTACCTCTTGGAGGGCCTAGAGGCGACTGCCTTTGGCACTGGTGTGTTGACTTCTTGTTTACTGCAAAAATATAGGAAGTCAGGGCTGGGAATGTAGCTTAGTGGTAGAGTGCTTGTCTAGCACGCATGAAGACCTGGCTTCCATTCCTCAGTGCCACATACACAGGAAACGCTGGAAGTAGAGCTCTGACTCAAGTGGTAGGGGGCTAGCCTTGAGCAAAAGAAGCTCAGAGACAGCGCCCAAATCCTGAGTTCAAGCCCCAGGACTAGGGGAAAAAATAAAAAAAGCCCTGGGTTCATCCCAGTGCTGGAAGAGAAAAAAACAACAGAAAAATGGCCAGGAGGTAGCTGGTGGTAGTGTGCTTGAGTCTCCACCAGATCCAGCCCCCAAAGTGACCTAGCTGAGGTTGTGACGCTTTCTGTGCAGTCAGGATAATCTTGCCACTGGCTCTGCCCTGTCATTTAGCTTGTTTTATCAGACTGGAGATGCACTGAGCCATGCTCCAGACTTAAAAAACTCACTGTTCCTGTTAACACATACCCTGAGATCTAGAGGATCACAGCTCCAGGCCAGCCCAGGCAGGCACCAGAGGCTCAGCTGCCAGCACTGGCTGGGTGTGGTGGCTCATCTCTGCCATTCCAGCTGTATGGGAGGCTGAGATTGTACAGCCCTGGGCAGAAAAGCCCATGAGGCTCCATTTCCATCGAAAAATCTGGGCACGGTAGTGTGTACTTGTCATCACAGCCATGATAGGAAGAAAATGAAAAAGAAGCTCACGGAAATAACCTATTTCACAAGTGTGAGGCCAAGTTTCAGTACCGACAAAGATATCTATCTATCTATAGTCTATCTATCTATAGTCTATCTATCTATCTATCTATCTATCTATCTATCTATCTATCTAGTCCAGGTGTGCCCGGTGGCATTAAGCCTTTGGGAGTCTTGAACTTGTACCCTCTCTATCTAGCTGTGGTTGGGCGGGGTGGGGTTAGAACAGGAAGGGGCCATGTTCGAGGTAGGAGGGTCAGCATGGAGGAGAGGCTTAGGAGTGGCCAGCCTGAGGCCCCCAGTTCAATCCCCAGTGCCAGAAGTGAGGAGTAGGGGCATAGCTCTGTGTGGGTGCTGGGCAGCCCCTCTGGCCACAGGTTCGAGACTTGGCCCACAGAAAGTTCTCCCAGGCATGCCTCAGGGGCAGCCCCGGCTGTGGGGAGCAGGGGGTTCCACAGGCTACTGTCGCCAGCACGGCCTGTCCCTGTGTCCCCAGGCCACGCCGCACCACGGGGTGTATTCAAGGGAGGAGGAGCTGCTCCGAGAGCGGAAGCGCCTGGGCGTGTTTGGCATCACCTCCTACGACTTCCACAGCGCCAGCGGCCTCTTCCTCTTCCAGGCCAGCAACAGCCTCTTCCACTGCCGTGATGGGGGCAAGAATGGCTTCATGGTGCGGCCTGGGAGCCCCGGGGTGGGGAGGGGGGCAGCACGGGCGGCAGCCCCTGGACAAGGATGGCTTTTGGGTTTCCGGGGGGCCATAGGGTGAGCAAGGGTGGGTGCAGGGATGGTGACTACCCCTGAATGGGCCTCTGTCCCCAGGTGTCCCCCATGAAGCCACTGGAGATCAAGACCCAGTGCTCAGGGCCCCGGATGGACCCCAAAATCTGCCCTGCCGACCCCGCCTTCTTCTCCTTCATCAACAACAGCGACCTGTGGGTGGCCAACATTGAGACGGGAGAGGAGCGGCGCCTCACCTTCTGCCACCGGGGTGAGGCTGCCAGGGGCCCTAGAACTTTCCTGAGCAGAGTACCCCCAACGCAGAGGCCATCTCTGCCTGGGGTGCAGCTTACCCCAGTGTCTGGCCACCACCCCAGGCTGCCCTCTCAGCCTGCCCCTCCCCACCTTCTAGCCACCTGGCCAGCCCAACCTGCTCTGCCACTGGGACCCCTTCTAGACCTGGAGCCACACTTAGCTGTGCATCGGGGGCATGGTCCTGGCAAGGAGTGGGAGGCGCTGTGGCTCAGCACCGACCCAGGCCTAGGACCCGACAACCCCAACCCCCTAGGGAACTAGCTGCCCATGTCCCAGTGTCCAGCCAGGGAGCTAAGATGCTGCCCTCTCCCCAGGATCATCCAGTGTCCTGGATGACCCCAAGTCTGCTGGCGTGGCCACCTTCGTCATCCAGGAGGAGTTTGATCGCTTCACAGGGTGCTGGTGGTGCCCCACAGCCTCCTGGGAAGGTACGTACCCTGCCTACCCACCTGGCTCAGGGCCCTGCTGCCAGTCAGTCTCCGCACTGTCCCTGTTACCTGCAGTCCCCAGGGTCAGGACGAGTGACCATTGTGGCTTCCCCCACTGGCATGCCCTGCAGCCCGTGTCTGGAGTTGGCAGTGGCCGAGAGATAGGGTGAGCTGTGGCCCGCCTCCGCCGTGGGCTTGCTCCAACTGCAGCCCCAGACTACGGGGCACAGGGCTCCGACGTGTGGTGGGCTGCTGCCACCCGAGTCCTCTCAAGGCCTCACGTGCCGCTTACCCGTCGTGGACAGTCAGGCCCCATCTGGTTTGGCAGGCAGCACAGGTCCTGAACCACAGGCCCAGCCCTGCACATGTCTGAAAAGTGTGGCTGCCCAGCGTGTGCCCTTCCTTCCAGGCTCTGAAGGCCTGAAGACACTGCGCATCCTGTATGAGGAGGTGGACGAATCTGAGGTGGAGGTCATCCATGTCCCCTCGCCGGCCCTGGAAGAGAGGAAGACCGACTCCTACCGATACCCCAGGACAGGTGAGGCCTCCCCGGGTACGCACACATCAGCCACTCATGGCCAGAGGGGTTTGTCCAGAGCCTGCCTCCACCTGGCCTAGCCAGGCCTCATCATCACAGAGCTCAGAGCCCCACAGGCTCCCGTCTCAGCTGGTCACTGCTGCACCTACCCAGCCCTGCTGCCATAGACCACATCAATCACAGACAGAATGTATGGGCTGTGTGCCTGGGAATGGCATGGAAGCTCATTCCTGTACTCCCTGCACTCAGGAGGCTGAGGCAAGAGCGTCATTTGAGTCCAGGGTAACCTAGATAAGGCCTCATAGCCAGACTCGCCAAAAAAAAAAAAGAGGAGGAAGCCTTTTTTATTATTATTATTATTATTGCCAGTCCTGTGACTTGAACTCAGAGCCTGGGCACTGTCCCTATGCTTTTTTTCAAGGCTAGCACTCTATCACTTGAGTCATAGGGCCACCTCTGGCTTTTTCTGTGTATGTGGTGCTGAGGAACTGAACCCAGGGCTTCATGCATGCTAGGCAAGCACTCTACCACTAAGCCACCTTCCCAGCCAATCTAAAACCAGGAGGCAGGATACATGGATTCACCAACCCTGTCACTGCCAGACAGGACTGCAGGGCCCGTCATTCTGTGAGGTGCCTCATGCTGGTCCTCTACCTCCCTCCTCTTTCTTTCTGGCATCTTCCCTTCTTCTCACCGTTCAGAGTGTCTGTATGCGGAGTCAGCTCTGCCTGGGAGAGGAAGACCAGGCACCACTGGCAGATCAGCAATTCTCTCCAGTCATTTTAAAATGGCTCCTGAGCTGGGCATGGTGGCACACACCTGTAATCCCAGCACCTGAGAGGCAAGTTGTAGGCCAGCCACAGCGAGATCCTGTCTTGAACAACTAACTAAATGAAAAACTCCCCTGAGCCAAGCAAGCCCTGTGCTGGACTCAACCCCAGGCCCCACCTGCAGCCTGCCTGGTGGTGAGGAGCTGCTCTGCCACTCCACCCCTGACCGTGCCCACAGGGCCTTCCCAGGAGCACTGCCGGCCCCTTCCTCTGTGATAACCCACCTCTGCCCTGCCCTGCTTGGCAGATGGGCAAAAGGCTGACCTGCCCTGACTTCTAGAGTCTAGGCCAGGACGAGGTCTGCCAGCATTTCCCTCCACTGCTGTTCGAACCAAGCCCTTCCTCACAGAAGTCCCGCTGACTGTCCCCACCTGTGGCTGCTGCCTCCCCCTGTGCTGTGCAGGGTCTGCTGTTCCCCGCCCCCCTGCCACCAGCCCTTAGCTCCACCTCCGGCCCCGCCCTGTGCCAATCCTTAGCTCCACCTACAGCCCAGCCCCACCCCTCCAGCCTTTAGCTCCGCCTACGGCCCAGCCCCACCCCTCCAGCCCTTAGCTCCGCCTACAGCCCGCCTCTAGCCCTTAGCTCCGCCCACAGCCCCGCCCTGTGCCAATCCTTAGCTCCACCTACAGCCCAGCCCCACCCCTACAGCCCTTAGCTCCACCTACAGCCCATCCCCACCCCTCCAGCCCTTAGCTCCGCCTATAGCCCAGCCCTCCAGCCCTTAGCTCCGCCTACAGCCCACCTCTAGCCCCTAGCTCCGCCTACAGCCCACCTCTAGCCCTTAGCTCCACCTCCAGCCCCGCCCTGCATCCAGCCCCACCCTGCACCAGCACTTGGCTCTCCCTCCAGCCCCGCCCTGTGCCAGCACTTGGTTCCGCCTCCAGCCCTGCACCAGCCCTTAGCTCCGCCTCCAGCCCTGCACCAGCCCTTAGCTCCAGCCCCTCCCCCCCACCCTGCACCAGCACTTAGCTCTGCCTCTGGCCCTCCCTCATCAGTACCTAGTCCCATCTCCAGCCCTCCCACACGGGCACTTGGACCCGCCTCCAGCCCCGCCCTGTGCCGCTACTTAGCCCTGCCTCTAGCCTATCCCTGTGCCAGCCCTTAGCTCCGCCTCCAGTCCCACCCTGCACCAGCACTTAGCTCCGCCTCCAGCCTTACCCTGCGCCAGTACTTAGCTCCGCCTCCAGCCCTACCCTGTGCCAGCACTTAGCTCCGCCTCCAGTCCCACCCCACACCAGCACTTAGCTCCGCCTCCAGCCCTACCCTGTGCCAGCACTTAGCTCCGCCTCCAGTCCCACCCCGCACTAGCACATAGCTCCGCCTCCAGCCCTACCCTGCGCCAGTACTTAGTTCTGCCTCCAGTCCCACCCTGCACTCTGCAGTCAAGGAGACCAGTTCCTGTCAAAAGTACAGGCCCCCAAGTCAGTTCCTGCCCAAGGGGACTTGGTGGCATGCGAGGAAGGGAACTCACGGCAGGCAGACCTTTGTATCCCTCTCCCCCCACGGACCCACCACACCACCACGTGGGCCCGACAGCCAGGCATTCCAACTTGCTCTCCCATCACAGGCAGCAAGAATCCGAAGATCGCCTTGAAGCTGGCCGAGTTCCAGACAGACAATCAGGGCAAGGTAGGGGCGGCTGTCCCGCAGAAGCAGGGAGAGGGATGGGAACACATGCCCCCCCTCTGTCTTTTCTCTCTCAGTCTCCCTCCCTCTGTCCAGAGCCTCAGCTGGCCCTGGCCCTGTTTATGTCTGAACCTCTGGCTAGATGAACAAGCTTCCCGCCAGAGCTCCCTAAGCTGGGAGCAGTGAGAGCTGGGAACCCCCAGGCCCAGAGCTCAGAGCTTGAGGGGCTTGGGTGTGGAAGTTCCTGAGCTTGCAGGGCGGCTTCCTCACCCCAGCATCTTAGGCTCACTTCTGCCAGCCCAGCAGCTGTGGGGATGGGCAGTGTTCTGGATGCTTCTCTATTCCCCCCATTGGCATGGAGCTTGGGTTCCACACTCCTCCCAGGTACAGATGGCATAAAAGGCGCCATCATCCCCTAGCTACTACCATGACCTGGTCTCAACCTCAGGCCTGCACAAAGTGGGGCACTCAGAGAGAAGCTGAAATCTGACATGTCAGTGGCGTGGGGGATGTGGCGTTGGAGGCCTCCCTAGGGCAGATCCTGGGCAGGGGGACCGGGCAGAGGCTGCACATGCAGGCCTTCCCAAAACACCTCGTGTGTTCTATAGCAGACCTGAGATCTCATATGTGTCGAGTGTTCCTGCACATTCTGGAGCACATCTGAGGGCACACGTCCTTGCTATCATTGGGGGCATATTGCATCCTCATTGGCCAAACCTCTTTCACTGTCATCTGGAAGCTTCCAGCCTGTGGGAGGTGGATGTCCCCAGCCACTGTGCATGGCATACCCAATCCCCACCCCCCAGGCAGCTTCAGGCCGCCCTTGCCCCAGATCTGGACAGAGGTGATGAGCTGGGGGGGGGGGGGGGCTGGTGTCCATGTGAGGGGGAAGGAGGGATCCCTGCGTCCCTTTCTCCCCAACGGTCCTGTTCAGGCTGGAGAACCCAGGCAACCAGGAGTTGTGTCTGCCCAAGGCAGGTGGCTCCACCAGGACAGCCCTGAAGCCTTTTGTTTCCAGAGCAGCCCATGCTGCCATGGGCCTCCTGCCTTCCTTCTTGCCCCATTGGGGGGAAGGGGCAACCAAAGCCCACCAGGGCAGCTGTAGCAAAGTGCCATGGTCTGGCAGCTCGGGCAGCAAGCAAGTAAGAGGGCCGTGTTCCTGCTGCTGGCCATGGGTCTTCCACATGTCTTGCATTGGACAAGGCACATCCTACCTTGTGTGACATCGTCAGCGTAACTTGTGACATGTGTAGGTGCCGCATTTCCAAAGTAGATGGCATTCCAAGGTTCTGGGGTGGGGGTGCTGAGTTCCAGCTCACCAGGGCCCACCGCCCCCAGCCTGGTGACCTGCGTCTGTCTCTACAGATTGTCGCAGCCCAAGAGAAGGAGCTGGTGCAGCCCTTCAGCTCCCTCTTCCCTGCGGTGGAGTACATCGCCAGGGCTGGGTGGACACGTGACGGCAAGTAGTGAGTATTGCCCGCCGAGCAGGGACGGGGTGGCGTCCACTCATGGCTTCTGGGCCCAGCCCTGTCCTCAGGCCGCTCCTAGCCTCAGGGTGAGGGCACAAGAGCCTGATGGCTGCTGGCACCCCCACGCTGGAGCTTAGTTCTGCAGGGGTGATCCCACTCAGGCATCAGGCCGTGCTTACCTACTCTCCAGCCTTTGCCACAGACTCGTCTCCAGCACTGTTCTAAACCAGGGCCCAACCACGTCTAGTCACCAGCCACGCTCCGCTGCCCTCTGCCTTACCGCAGCCCATCAGCCAAAAGCACCCTAGTGATCGGGGCAAAAATCTAAAGACTTGGTAGTTTGGGGAAATTTTGTTTGTTTGTTTTGAGACAGTGTCTCCAATGGGGACCTTGTGATCCTTCCTCCCCCACATCCCAAATGCCCCTGTCCCCAATGCAGATTGTGTAACACTGCACACCAATAGGAAATCCACAACACAGTGTACAGAGCTGTCCAGCACACATGTGAGGACCTGCGGTCCTCTACCCATCTCCCCGGGCCACCTTTCCCCGTCCATCTGCATGTGACCTCCAGAGCTGAGGTGCTGCCTCTGCTGCCCTGCTTTGTTTTGTTTTATTTTGTTTTTCCGGTCGTGGGGCTTGAACTCTAGGCCTGGGTGCTGTCCCTCAGCTCTTCAGCTCAAGGAGAGCACTCTACCACCATAATGTTCCTCTTCCTTTCTCTGTCACTGTAGGTAGATGAACATTTATGAACATTTACACCCATGGTGCCACCTTGTCTCCTTGTAGATAAACCAAAACTTAAACACTGTCCACTAAAGCCATGTCTTAGTGGTTCATGCCTGCAATTCTAGCTGCTCAGGAGGCTGAGATCTAAAGATCATGGTTTGGAGCCAGCCTGGACAGGAAAGTCTATGGGACTTTTTTTTTTTTTTTTTTTGGTCAGTCCTGGGGTTTGAAACTCAGAACCTAGGCGCTGTCCCTGAACTCTTTCGCTCAAGGCTAGTGCTCTACCCATTGAGCCATACCACCACCTCCAGTTTTTGAGTAGTTAATTGGCGGTAACAGCCTCCCAGGGACTTTTCTGCCTGGGCCGGCTTTGAATCACAATTCCCAAATCTCAGCCTCCTGAGTAGCTAGGATTACAGATGTAAGCCACCAGCACCCAGTTTCCTGAGTCTCTTACCACCAACTAGCCACCAAAAAGCCAAAAGTGGAACTATGGCTTAAGTGGTAGAGCACCAGCTTTGAGCGAAAAAGCTAAAGGACATAGCTCAGGCCCTGAATTCAAGCCCCAGTACTGGTATTAGAGGCAAAAAAAAAGGAACAACAGCAGAGCCCCTGTCCATCCATTAAAGTGTAAGGTATATTAAGTAGGTAGGTTTCATTAGGTAGCTGATGAAGAGAACACCATGCATTACTCAGGCAGGAAAAGAAATTTATTTACCTAACTGCTGCTGTCCCCCTCTCCCCCCAATGCATGGTGGAGAGGCATGGCCAAAAAGGGAGGCCTCCCCCAGGCCAGGGACAGGAAGAGGTGTGGCCAGGTAGAGGGAAGGTGTGGCCATACTGGATCTGGGTGTGACCTCAGGGCCTGGGACCGCCTATAGTCAGATGGAAGGCCAGGGACGGCCTAGGATGTGATCTAGCAGGAGTGGGAGGTGACTACTTCCAGTTACCTAGGTAACAGATACTGTGCCAGTTACCTAGGTAACAGATACTGTGCCAGTTACCTAGGTAACAGATACTGGGTAGAAACTTAGCCAAGAGATAGGGGGAGGTGTCTGCACAAGGCCTGCATGGCCTGGGGCAGACCTTACATGAAGGGTAGGGGGCTTAGTGTTAGAGCTCCTGCCTAGCCAGTGGGATGTCCGAGTTCAAACCCTAGTAACCCCTCCCCACAGAACAATGCAAGCCAGACATTTGGGCAGTGATCTCAGCTCTGGGGAGGCTGAGGCTGGAGGAGCAGGCACTGAAGGTCAGCCTGGAATATATAATGAGATGTAGCTAAAAACAAACAACAAGGGGCTGGGAAGGTGGCTCAGTTGTAGAGCGCTTGCCTTGCACGCATGAGGCCCTGGGTTCGATTCCTCAGCACCACATAAGCAAAAAGAAAAAAGCCGGAAGTGGTAAGAGCGCTAGCCTTGAGCTGAACAGCTGAGGGACAGCACCTAGGCCCAGAGTTCAGGCCCCCACGACCGGACCCAAAAACAAACCAAAAATTGCCTACTTAAAGCAAATCATGAGCCGGGCGCTGGTGGCTCACACCTGTAATCCTAGCTACTCAGGAGGCTGAGATCTGAGGATCGTGGTTCAAAGCCAGCCCAGGCAAGAAAGACCGTGAGACTCCTATCTCCAATAAACCACCAGAAAACCGGAAGTGGCGCTGTAGCTCAAGTGGTAGAGCGCTCGCCTTGAGCTGAAGAGCTGAGGGACAGTGCCCAGGCCCAGAGTTCAAGCCCCACGACCGACAAAAACAAAAAAGCAAATCATGAAGTAAAGGATGGCGAGGGAGAAAGTTGGTGTGGCTAGACCTGGGGTTTGGGGCAGAGTTTGCAGAGCCCTGGGCTGACGGGCTTTCTTGGCCTCCTGGTTCTAAGAAGTTCGGGCCAGTCTGCATGGAGTCAGCGAGGAAGCGGGACTGGCTTGTAGCAGGGCCGCTCCATCGTCCAGTCACTGAGGCCTTGGGCTTGCCTTCCTTCCTTCCCCCCCCCACCCCCCCAGCGCCTGGGCCATGTTCCTGGACCGACCCCAGCAGCGGCTCCAGCTGGTGCTCCTGCCCCCAGCCCTGTTCATCCCAACCCCCGAGAGCGAGGCACAGCGGCTGGCCTTCGCCAGGGCCGTCCCAAAGGACGTCCAGCCCCACATGGTATACGAAGAGGTCACCAACGTCTGGATCAACGTGAGTGGACACAGAGCTGAGGGCTGCCCCTCCCCAGCGGGCCTTGCTTGGGGCAGGCCGGAGCCACGGAAGCCAGCCTCCTCTGATGCCGCCTCTCTCCCGTCCCGCAGGTGCACGACATCTTCTACCCCTTCCCGCAGGCGGACGGCCAGGAGGAATTCTGCTTCCTCCGTGCCAATGAGTGCAAGACCGGCTTCTGCCACCTGTACAAAGTGACTGTTCTCCTCAGGGCCAATGGCTACGACTGGACTGAGCCACTCAGCCCCCGGGAAGGTGAGCGGGAAGACAATCCCCATGGGGACCGTGGTAGTCCAGCCAGCCAGCAGCATGTGCCGAACCCCACAAGCTGTGCCGGGCCCTCCGCACCAGGGTTTGATAGGGGCACAGGCCACAACACTGAAAACCCAGCTGAGGACCCTGTGCTGGTGGCTCACTCCTGTAATCCCAGCTGCTCAGGAGGCCGAGATCTGAGGATTGTGGTTTGAAGCCAGTTTGAGCAGAAAAGTCTCATGCCTGTAATCCTAGCTACTAAGGAGGCTGAGATCTGAGGATTGGGATTCAAAGCCAGCCCGGGCAGGAAAGTCCATGAGATTCTGATCTCCAGTGAACCACCAGAAAACCGAAAGTGGTGCTGTGGCTCAAGTGGTAGAGCGCTCGCCTTGAGCTGAAGAGCTGAGGGACAGTGCCCAGGCCCAGAGTTCAAGACTGACAAAAAAAAGTGATATACAGAGGCCTTTGCAACTCGTAGCTCCAGTTAAGCACCAAAAAGCTGGACATGGAGCTGTGGCTCAAGTGGGAGAGCATCAGCCTTGAACAAAAAGGCTCAAGGACAGTCCTAAGTTCAAGTACTGGCAAAGAAAACCCATCAGCTGAGCCTTTGCGTGACTAGAGCCCGACCACGCCGAGTCCCAGTGAGGTCCTGACCCGAGCCCCCGGCTGCCGCCTGTCACCCGGGTGCACGCGTTTGTGACCCAGCCTCCGCAGGCTTCTCAGGCAACACAGGCGCCTGGCTCTCCTGCCCCTGCCACCCAGCCCCGGCATCCCCTCCTGTGCAAGTGGATTGTGGCCTCAGGGCCCTGGCATGGCTGCTGGGGTGCCTTCATCCTCTGCTTCCTTCCTTTGCAGATGAATTCAAATGTCCCATCAAGGAGGAGATTGCGCTGACCAGTGGCGAGTGGGAGGTCCTGGCCAGGCACGGCTCCAAGGTACCTGTGAGCCCCATGCTGCCTCTCCCCCCCCCCCCCAGCACCCAGGGTGGGCAGGGACTCTACCTGCCCAAGATGAGAGGTGGGGGTGCAGGTCAGAAAGGGGATCGCCAGTCACCCGTCCCCACCCTGCTTCCCTCAGTTAACTGTCCTGGCCTCAGTTTCCCAGTCTGTACATCAGGATAAGGAATAGTCATATCGCAGCATCTACTCTCCTGGGGCCTCTGCACGTGGGGCCCACCAGGCCTGTGCAGCCCCTGACCTCCACTCCTTAGCCCTTACTCATCCCTGGGCACACCCCTCCCCCTCAGCCCACCTCCCCCCTTCACATTCTCAGGCCTCACCGTGAGTGTCCCCGACACACCAGAGTCCCCCATGCGCTCAGCCTAGTGTGGGCCCCACCCGAACCTGAACCCCGTGCTTCTCTGTGGAGAGGAGGGGTGTCTTCTGAAGTCCTCTGGGGCCCTGCTGTGCCCCTCCCCGAGTGGGGACTCGTCAGAGAGAAGCCACAGCCAGCAGCCGGGCCCAGAGCCCCATGGCCAGTGTGTGCCCAGACACAGCCTGTGCTGAAGAACAGTAGCCACGAACACATAGCATTCTGGTACATTTCCACTGTTCTCGGAGACAGTCGGTGCCCTGGAGCCCCCTCCTGCAGGCTATGACTGCCTATGGTAGAAGGGCTTTGGGGTTCCTCAGAGTGCAGGGGTCACGGGGCATCTCCACGGCCCATCCTGGTTCTATTGTTGCCTTCTTTTGACAATGCTCGGGGTCTTGTGCTTGCTGGACAGGGGCTCTACTACTTGAACCACAGCTCAAACCCCTTTGTGGATTTTTGTTTGTTTGGTTTGGTTTTGGTTTTCTGTTCCTGTTCTGGGACTTGAATTCAAGGCCTAGGTATTGTCCCTGAGCTTTTTTGCTCAGAGGTGGCGTTTTACCCCTTGAGCCACAGCTCCTCTTCCAACTTGTTACTGATGGACAGACTTTTTTTTTTTTTTCTGTTTCTGTGGTGCTGAGGAATCGAACCCAGGGCCTCATGCATGCAAGGCAAGCACTCTACCACTGAGCCACCTTCCCAGCCCCTGGACAGACTTTTCTGTCCAAGCTGGCTTTGGACTTTGTACTGTGATGCTTAACTCTCAGCCTCCTGAGTAGCTGGGATTACAGGTGTGAGGCACTGTACCTAGCCATGCTTCCCATTCTTTGGTGGTGGCCATGTCTTCCCTGCCAGCCCGGTCTGCACAGTGAGACCCTGGCTCAGGAAAAAAGGCAACTGCTTTGCTCACTCCTCCTTCCCCCGCCCTCCTGTCCTATGGAAAGTATTTTGCCTTCAAGGTGCTGGTTGGACCCCAAACCAGCAGTGCGGTTCCAGCCCCTCCTCCTCCCACCCCGGCAGGCCCCCTGTCCTTCATTGATTCTTCCGTCCCTTGCTGGCCTGACCACTCCTCACATTCTCTGCTGGCCGGGCCTCTCAGGCCCTTGCCTTGGGCAGTGGACTCCCATCCGTGTTCCAAAGCAACCAGGTCCTTGTGCTGGGGATGCTCCCCCTGCAGAAATCCATGCTCTGTTGCCTCCGTTTGGGTCACCAGTCTTGCTGGCAGTGTGCATTTCTGGGACCACTGTCATCTTCACCCACAGAAAGAACTCCAGCCGCCTCGGGCCCAGTGCCCTGCTGCTCTGAGCCCCGCCAGGGACCCCACCCAAGTCACAGGGAGCCACAGCGCTTCCCCAACACCTGGCTACAGGGACTGGCAGTGCAGGCTCCCCAGCCTCTGATCAGGCTCTGATTCTGCCTCATTGTCCCAGGACCCATCCCGGGGCTGAGGCTGAAGCGAACCCCGCCTCGTTTGGGGTCACATAGGCACAAGAGACAGTGCGGCGGAGGGGAAGGGGTCGGCTGGGAGAGGGCCGCTCATAGGCGCCCCGGGTCCCTTGCAGATCTGGGTCAATGAGGAGACCAAGCTGGTGTACTTCCAAGGCACCAAGGACACGCCGCTGGAGCACCACCTCTATGTGGTCAGCTACGAGTCCGCCGGCGAGATCGTGCGCCTCACCACGCCCGGCTTCTCCCACAGCTGCTCCATGAGCCAGGTGGGCCTTCCTCCCACACCCCTCCCCATGCCCCAGCCCATGCCAGCAGGCAGCCCTGCTGCCTCCTAGGGGAGCACAGGGATGGGGGCACAGCCGCTCACCTGGAGCCCATCTTCTGGGCCTTCATGCTGCTGCTGTGGGATGTGGAATACACCTCTTAGAGTACAGCCCTCAGAACATTCCAGAACATACAGTAGTGGCCATACTGGCCCTTCCCCATGCAGTGCCCCTGATGGCTATAAAGCCAGCAAGACCAGCAGGCCTGGGTGACGACCCTGGAATGCTGGCCAGACTCAGTTTCCCTGTCTGTAACGTTGTCCCAGGCAGTTGGCCCAGTGCTAGAGCGCCCAGCCGAGGGTGGGCGGGGCCTGGCGGGTGGGTGGGGCGACCGGGGAAGGGCCTATGTGTGGGTTTTCAGGGCGGGGCCTGGTGGGTGGGTGGGGCGACGGGGAAGGGCCTATGTGTGGGTTTTCAGGGCGGGGCCTGGCGGGTGGGCGGGGCCCTGTCGGTGGGCGGGGCCGCGCCCCGCTGAGCGCCCCGCCCCGCCGCCCACCCGCAGAACTTCGACATGTTCGTCAGCCACTACAGCAGCGTGAGCACGCCGCCCTGCGTGCACGTGTACAAGCTGAGCGGCCCGGACGACGACCCGCTGCACAAGCAGCCGCGCTTCTGGGCCAGCATGATGGAGGCGGCCAGTGAGTCCGGGACCCTGCATCCCGCACCCCACCTCGGACCCCAGCCCGGCCCGGCCCCCGCACGCCCCGCGTGGCCGCTCCGGTCGGTCCGTGCGGACCCTGAGGCCTGGGTGACGCCTCCCGCGGGGGTCTGAGTCAGGAGCGGGGTCGGGCCCGCGTCGTCCGCCCCGGAGCCTGCGGCCAGGGGTTTCCCATGCTGGGAGCGACTGTCAGCCTGTCACCCCGACCCCCGTCACCATCTCAGAAACAGAACGGAAACAAGCACGCAGCCCAGCGTAGCATCTGGCTACCCTGGTGGCACCTGGTTAAACGGAAAGCCAAGCCAGCCCCCAACTCCACCCTACCTGCCATGCTGGTGGTTTCCAGAACATCTAGAAAGTGTTCTAGATACTAAGAACTGTGTGTAATGAGCTAGAACGTATTTTTTGTTCCATTGTCACCTCCAGAACAAAAGCAGGTCTCACTAAGGCCAGAGCCCACGTCCCACGGCGCAGGTTCACAGATGCCTATGCCAGGAATGGGTGAATTGGGGCCAGCGCCCGCCACGTGTGGTCACCCTGGTGTCTGTGCCCAGGTCTGCGCTACAGCATGGAGTTTAGTAGCTGTGCCACCGAGGTAGAACCGTCTGGCCTTTTACAAAACTTACCCATGTTACTGCTGGCCTGCCTTCCTCCCTTCCCTTCCCCCCCAAAGTGCTTTTAGTGTTAGGCTTTGAACTTAGGGCCTTGTACTTGTTAGGCAAGTGTTGTATTACTACTTTATACTCTTCCCCCATTTTTGCTTTAGATTTTTTTTTTTCCTGGTCCTGGGCCAGGACACTATCCCTGAGCTCCTTTTGCCCAAGGCTAGCACTCTACCACTGGAACCACAGTGCCACTTCTGGCATTTTTAGTGATTACTTGGAGATAAAAGTCTCACAGACTTTCCTGCCAGGACTGGCTTTTTTTTTTTTTTTCCTTTGGTCGTGGGGTTTGAATTCTGGGATTGCACACTGTCCCTGAGCTCTTTGGCTCAAGGCAAATGCTCTACCACTTGAGCTACAGTGCCACTTCTCGTTTTCTAGTGGTTAATTGGAGATGAGTCTCATGGACCTTCCTGCCTGGGCTGGCTTTGAACCACAATCCTCAGATCTCAGCCTCCTATATAACTAGGATTACAGGCATGAGCATCAAATAAACCTATGACTATCCTATAACTTCTTCCTACCTGGGATGACAGGTGCATGCCACCACACCCAGCTCATTGTTTGGGATGAGGTCTTCCTTACTTTCTCTCCAAATTAGTTTCAACCTGTACCTCCCAAATAGCTGGATTACATGTATAAGCCACAGCACCTGGTCCGGATTTTCCTTTAGACCTGCTAACCCTATTTTCCTACATAAATGCACTTGAATTAAAAAAAAAAAAAAAAAAAAAAAGCCTTGGAGACGAGAGAATCATGAGTTCCAGACCAGTCAGGGCCACATAGAGAACCTATCTAGAAAGAGAAAAGAAGGAAAGCCTTGGCTCCATCATGGTGATTGGACATACAGTTTTTGCTTAAGTCAGTGAGAAGCAGACCATGAAATGAACCAACACGGCCAGCACTCTTGGCCCTCTGTCCTGCAGGCTGCCCCCCGGATTATGTGCCTCCAGAAATTTTCCATTTCCACACACGATCAGATGTGCGGCTCTATGGCATGATCTACAAACCACACGCCCTGCAGCCAGGGAAGAAGCACCCTACCGTGCTCTTCGTGTACGGGGGCCCGCAGGTGCGTGCAAGCCTGGCCCCGGCCCAACCCGGCTTCTGCCACACCTGCTGCCTCTCACTTCCGCTCCCCATCTCCACCTCCCGGGGCAGGTACAGCTTGTGAACAACTCCTTCAAAGGAATCAAGTATCTGCGGCTCAACACGCTGGCATCACTAGGGTACGCCGTGGTGGTGATCGATGGCCGGGGCTCATGTCAGAGAGGGCTTCGCTTTGAGGGGGCCCTGAAAAACCAGATGGTAAGTTTTCTTCTCTGTCTGAGCCCTTTCTTTGCTGCCCAGGGAGCTCCCTGGGCACCATTCACCGAGGGTCAGTCAGTCCCATGCTGCTCAGAGAGCTATGGGCACCACACGCCTCCTCAGTTACTGCCAGTCCTACAAAGATAGCGCCCGTAGCCACATGGTGGAGCGCCTGCTTTGCCGCCCCGCTCGGAGCGGGCAGGGGGACACACGTGTCCACCCATCCACACTAGCTAGGAAGGCGTGTACAGCTCAGATGCAGCAGATGCTGTGGGAAAGCCAGCCCACAGGGAAGCCAGCAGCCAGATGATGGCCTTAGAAGTATGTTAATGGGGACCGTGGTGGTGATGATGATGATGGTAGTGGTGGTGATCGTGATGATGGTGATGGCAGTGGTGATGGTGGTGGTGGTAGTGGTTACAGTGGTGGTTGCTGATGGCGGTAGTGGTGATGGTGGTGATGTTAGCGATGGAGGCAGTGGTGATGATGATGATGATGGCGGTGATGGTGGTACTGATGGTGGCGGTGATGATGATAGCGATGATGATGGTGGTGGTGGTAATAATGGGTCATGGTGCTATGGGCCAGCTTCTTGTTAATATTTCTCTTCAGCCATGAGCAGACTGAGGACCGGGGAAGGAATGTGCTGTTGCAGAACCTTCCAGGCATTGGGTGGCAGATCCGGGTGGGAGCGGCCCAGCTGGCCATGGTCCCTAAGGTCCTTCCAAGAGCAGGCAGGTGCTGCAAGGCTGGCAGTGATGGAACTTGGGGAGGACTTCTTCCACCCAGGGAGGAAAGACCCCACCGGAGGGGCCGCGTAGAGTAGGCTCACAGTCCCACAGGGCCCAGGGAGGTGGCCCTGAGCATGTCCCGCCTTGTCCCCAGGGCCAGGTGGAGATCGAAGACCAGGTGGAGGGCTTGCAGTTCGTGGCGCAGAAGTACGGCTTCATAGACATGAGCCGCGTCGCCATCCACGGCTGGTCCTACGGAGGCTTCCTCTCGCTCATGGGGCTCATCCACAAACCCCAGGTGTTCAAGGTAGGCCTGCCCTCACCGAGCCCTGGCCGCAGCCCCCTCACCCCTCCTCCCCTCCTCTCCGGTCCCCTCCCCTCCCACTGGCTGCCCGATCACCGGGCCTGACCCCGGGGGAGGCACCTCGGCAGGGGCCTTGCCACGTGGCTGTTTCTCCCTGCAGCAGCCCCGTGGGGCCGAGCCCCCCTCCTCATTGCCCGCCACCGCTGACCCCAGGATGGCGTCCGGCTGCACAAAAGCCCAGCAGCAGCTCTCTGTGGGAGGCTGAGCCCGGGACCCCGGCCTCGGATGGGCAGAGGTGGGGCGTGGTGCAAAGAGCATCGGGGAGGGAGCCGTCCAGCCGCACTGTGGGGCACGGCAGGGCTGCGGCCATGAGGAGGAGGAGGAGGCAGGAAGGTGGGACGGGCACAGTCCACGGGGACACCGGTGAGGGTCAGAGCCCCACCCACCACGTGCATGCCCGCCCTCACCCTCCCCTCTGCCCACCAGGGTGGCCTGGGAACCTTGCACAGGCCGGCTCTGGACCTGACGCCTGCCCCTCCCCCCCCTTCCGTCCCTGTGTCCTCCAGGTGGCCATCGCGGGCGCCCCGGTCACAGTGTGGATGGCTTATGACACAGGATACACGGAGCGCTACATGGACGTGCCCGAAAACAACCAGCAGGGCTACGAGGCGGGCTCTGTGGCCCTGCACGTGGAGAAGCTGCCCAACGAGTAAGATGCCTGCCCCGCCCCTCCCCAGGGCCCCCCTGTGCCAACTACTTGCCTCATTTTGACTTGCTGGCACTTCCTGGCCCGTGGAAGAAGGAAAATTCTAGAATCCCTGCCACTTAACTGGCCTGGTCTTCCTGGTTTCTCAGAAGCAGTTGACCCCCAAGTGCAATCCCCAGGACTCGTGCCCAGCTACAGGCAGCCTGTGGGCACTGACGCTGTTCTGGAACGCAATCTGGGGGACAGCCTCTGGTCCCCAAACAGTTCGGATGCACTGTTTTCCTGGTGCATTCCAAACTGGGGCTGAAAGGCTGCCTGGATCCCCTCCCTGAGACCACCCTGCGGTCCCAGCAGTGCTCAAGCGAAGACAAACTGACAATTGCCTCTCTGGTGCAGCTCCTAGCAGAGATGGGCACTGTGGCTGTAGAATGTTCTAGAACATGTGGAATGTTCTGGAACAGGCATGCAAAGCGATGTGACAACATTGCAGGGTCACCCAGCACCACAGTGTACAGCTGAGAATGTCACCTTTAGGTCCCTTTTTTTTTTTTTTGCCAGTCCTGGAGCTTGAACTCAGGACCTGGGCGCTGTCCCTGAGCTTCTTTGCTCAAGGCTAGCACTCTACCACTTGAGCCATGGCACCACTTCTGGCTTTTTCTGTGTATCTGCTACTGTGGAATCCAACCCAGGGCTTCATGCTTGCTAGGCAAGCACTGTACCACTAAACCACATTCCCAGTCCTAGGTCCCTTAAGTAGATATCAATTTTGTAAAAAAATAATAATAAAAATAAAAATTATCTTGGCGCCAGTGGTTCACATCTATAATCCTAGCTAGTTAGGAAGCTGAGGATCTCGGGTCAAAGCCAGCCTGGGCAGGAAAGTCCTTGAGACTCTTATCTTCAATTAACCACCAGAAAACCAGAAATGGCCCTGTGGCTCAAGCAGTAGAGTGCTTTCCTTAAGCTGAAGAGCTCAGGGACAGTGCCCAGGCCCAGAGTTCAAGCCCCACGACTACAAAAAAAAATAAAAATAATAAGTAATTGGACTGGGAGGGTGGCTTAGTGGTAGAGTGCTTACCTCACATGCATGAAGCCTGGGTTCGATTCCTCAGCACCACATACACAGACAAAGCCAGAAGCAGCGCTGTGGCTGAAGTGGTAGGGTGCTTAGCCTTGAGCAAAAGAAGCTCAGGGACAGCGCCCAGGCACAGAGTTCAAGTCCCAGGGTTAGCAAAAAATTAAATTAAAAATCAGCTTACAAAACTGAAGTGAAAAAGTCACGTGTCAGTCAACCCTGCCGCTCTTCTTGTGCTCAGTGGCCCAGGAGGGCAGTGTGGTTCTAGACCATTCCATCATCTAGAGTGCCAGGGAGTGGGGCCTTGCATGGCCCCTCTGCTGGCCGGAGCCGGGACCCTGACCGCCTTCCTGCCAGCCTCACCCACGCTCATCTTCCAGGCCCAACCGGCTGCTCATCCTCCACGGCTTCCTCGATGAGAATGTGCACTTTTTCCACACCAACTTCCTCGTGTCCCAGCTCATCCGGGCGGGGAAGCCCTACCAGCTCCAGGTGAGCCCTCCCTCCCTCCCTCCCTCCCTCCTACCTCCTGGCTGCTCCCCGCTCCCCAGCTCATGCGGAAATCTGCTCACACAAGGTCAGATGGCCACCACAGGGCAGCCCCCACACATCAGGGCTGGGGACGAGGGCTGGGCACATAGGTGGCACCCGGCTGCAGCCCAGTGGGGGAGGGCATTGATCCAAACTGAACACAGACCTCTGTGTCTGCTGAGGGGTGTCCATGAGGAAAGGAAGCATGGGAATGCTGGAGTGAGGACTGTAGGAGGGAGGAGCTTGGGGACTTCACACAGCTGAGCCAGGCGGGGCCTGATGTGGAGGAGGGGGTTCCTTGTGGGTGGAGCTTCCCCGGTTGGGGGCGGGGCCTCTTCAGTCAGGAGTCCTCTGACTAGAGGGCAGGGCCTTGAAGGGAGGTGGGGCTCCCCAATGGGTGGAACCACTGGGGCCTGTGCCTTGGCAGGCCCAGCCACACTGAGCAGGGAGGACGGGGAAGAGCTGGTGGACCATCCCCCAGTGCCAGCAACCTTAGCAGATGTGAGGTGTGGAAGGGAGGTGGTCAGGAGGGGTCTCGTTGCGTAGGAGGGATGAGCGAATGGAGACGAGCAGAAAGCAGGATGGCTCCCCACATCACAGTTGGGTGGCCACGGTGGGCCTGAAATCCCGGGTGTTGGGGAATGGGGTAGGAAGCACCTGGCTTTGTGGGAATCCTGGAAAGAGTGGGGCTGTCTCTACACTGTTCCAGCCCTGGGGAGCTGGGACACCCCCCCCCCCCGCCCCCCAGAAACTGCTCTCATAGCTCAGGCCCCATCTCCATCCAGCCCAGGACCAGGCCACTGGCTAGCCCAGATCACAGGGACCAGGTTCTGTGGTGTGTGTGCCATATATCTCTGTCCCTTCTTGGCCATATCCCCTTCAGAGGGTCAGGGGACCCAGAAAACAGCCTGGGGCCTGAAGCTTGGTATGAGGCCCTGTGGGAAATGATGTGGCTGCAGGCAGGGGCCCCCAGTGTCCAGCCAGGGCCCCTTTGTCACTGAGCAGGCCTGGGAGCTTTCCTATGTGCCAGGCAGACCATAGTCCAGCACACAGGCAGGCCGCTGCTGGCAGTGCTGGTGCTGATGGGAGCAGTGGCCTGTCAACCCAGCCCTCCCCCCTAACCCCCCCCCATGTCCCTGTCCCCACAGATCTACCCCAATGAGAGACACAGCATTCGCTGCCCCGAGTCGGGAGAGCACTATGAAGTCACACTGCTGTACTTTCTACAAGAGCACCTCTGAGCCCCCGCCTGGGAGCCCCCACCCCAGCCTTCACATCCCAGTGCAACCGGATGTCAGGAGGAACCGGGGAGGGGGGGGTCCCCCACGTCCCCACAAGGTACCTCCTCTCACCACCCCGCTGGACAGCTGTGGCCACCCTGCAGCTGGCCGCCGCCTTCGCCCTGACGCCTTTCATCCTCTCGCTGGCGCTCCTGGCTTCGTGGCTGCTTCTCAATTGCCAGGACACAGTGACAGTGGCCAGCCTCCCCGAGGCTCTGCCTGGTGCCATCCCCTCCTTGTCCCCCGTTGTTGGGGAGGTAGGGCTCCCTCGTTCCCTCGCCTCCTCACCCCTGCTGGAAGGGCTGCAGCTCGGGCACCTTCGCCAAAAGACACTTGGAGGAGCTGGGGCTGGGAAACCAGCCACCAGAGGCCCGGGCACCCCCAGTGTGTGGCTTTCCAGGGCCTCTCGGTCCCCTGGCCCCGCCAAACCACCGTCCCCAGCACAGAAGCATGCAGTGCCTGTCCTCCCCGCCAGCTCCCACTTCATTGTCGTGTTGTGTCTTAGGGGGCATTTTAAATAATTATTTAAAGACAGAAAGCAAAGGGTATCCCTAAATCCAGACTTGGGGTCCACCACTGGGCAGTGGTGTTCCAGCCCAGCACCTGGAAGCCCCCAGTGCCCAAAGCAGAATGCAGAGAGAGTGAAGCAAGTGGGGGGGAGGGGGGAAGGGGGAAAATAGGGGAATCACAGCAGGTACACAGTGTGGCTTCACCCCACCGGCCCCTCCCCACCCAGCCATCCAGCCCCGTGTGTGTGTGTGTGTGTGTGTGTGTGTGTGTGTGTGCGCGTGTGTGTGTGTGTGTGTGCGTGTGTACGTGTGCGTGTGTGTGTGTGTCTGCCTGGCCCTGTGCCTGCCCTGGGGTCTGGGGGTTGAACGTCCCCCACCTCAGGGTCATCCCCCCACCCTTCCTGACCCTCCCTGCCAAGAGTTTGGGCATAAAGAAGGAAAAAAGAAAGCTTAAAAAAAAAACCCAGAACCCCTCTACATATTATGGAAAGAAAATATTTTTGTCATTCTTATTCTTTTATAATTATGTGTGTAAGAAGTAGACTCATTAAACGATTCCAGATGGAAATATGGCCACTTACCTGGGGCTCCTTCTAAGACCTGGGGATGCTCTGAGTGGGAGGGGGTCTTGGGGGCCTGAGCACAAGGTGTAGCTGACAGGTGGTCTCCACAGGGCCTGGGGCTGCCCTGGCATAGATGGGGCGGGTACGCCAAAGACCCAGCTGGAAGCTTCCTACCCAGCTTCCCTGGCCAAGGAGGAAACAAAAGGGTCATCAGCTGAAGAATCTCATGGGCTCATCTCCATAACATAACCAGTTTTGGCCAGCACTCCTTCCCAGATCTCTTTTTGTAGCCCAGAACCTGACTGAGGACCCTACCCTGAGTCCTGTCTCCACCTTCTGTGGAGGTGGCAGCGTCAGCCTCATGTGACACTTCCCCAGAGGACTGCCAGCTCTTGTACAGGAACACCCCCATTGCAGGTCACAATTAGACATTTAGGCAATTATACAATCAAGACATCCTCACAGCCTTCTGTGCGTGTTAGGCAAATCCTCTACACTGAGCCAAGCACCAGCCCAGACCACGAGAAAAATTGGATTTTTGTTACATTGATCAGAAGAAAAACTTTATATACATATTATAAACATATAATTTTATTCTAAGGTGATGTACAGAGGGGTTAAAGTTACATAAATTAGATAAAGAATACATTTCTTTTGTTGTTGTTGATTGTGGGGCTTGAACTCTGGGCCTGGGCGCTGTCCCTCAGCTCAAGGTGAGCGCTCTACCACTTGAGCCACAGCGCCACTTCCAGTTTATGTGGTGTTGAGGAATCGAACCCAGGGCCTCATTCATGCATGTGAGGCAAGTGCTCCCTCCCAGCCCTCACTTTTTTTTTTTTGCCAGTCCTGGGCCTTGAATTCAGGGCCTGGGCGCTATCCCTGAGCTTCTTTTGCTCAAGGCTATCATTCTACCATTTGACCCACAGCGCCACTTCTGTTTTTTAGGGGGTTTTTTCCCCCTTTTTTCCTTTCATTTTTTGTTGTTGGTTATGGGGCCTGAACTCTGCCTGGGCGCTGTCCCTCAGCTCTTCAGCTCAAGGCTAGTACTCCAACACTTGAGCCACAACACCACTTCCGCCTTTTTCTGCTTAAGTGGTGCTGAGGAATCGAACCCAGGGCCTCATACATGCGAGGCAAGCACTCTACCACTGAGCCGCCTTCCCAGCCCGCTAGATCAATTTGACATGCAATGAGTCCACGCACGCACCAGCCACCGCAATTAAAAGTCATTTTCCTCACTCCCCAACTACCAATCAGAAGAGGTGTGTGGAGGTCACGTGACGGTACAAACCCCGCCCACAGCGCGAAGACCAAGCTGCGGCAGAGGCGTGGCTTAGGGGAGGGGCGGTGCTTGTGGGTCACGTGGGTGGGCGGACTGTGACGTGGCGTGCGACCGACGCCCCACGTGTCCCTCGCCGCGCCCCGTCCGCCGCCGGCCCCGGCAGGCCCCACTCCCAAGATGGCGGCGCCCAGCGGAAGCCGCGGCGGTGGCGGCGCGGTCGGCTGGGCTGCGCTGCTCCTGGCGGCCGCGGCTCTGAGACCGACGGGGGCCGTGTCCGAACCCACGACCGTGGCGTTTGACGTGCGGCCCGGCGGCGTCCAGCACTCGTTCTCCCAGAACGTGGGCCCCGGGGTAGGTGCCGTCGGAGCTCGGCGGGACGGGGCGGGGCCCGACGGGGGTCACGGGCCGGCGGGGGGCGGCGCGGCGCGCGGGCCTGCTGGGCGGGGCCGGGGGGCCTCGGCGCCGTCAGTCTCCCGTCACCGGCCAGCTGTCAGTCACCCAGCGCGGCCCGGGGTGGCGGGGCCCGGGGTGGCGGGGCCCGGGGTGGCGGGGCCCGGGGCGGCGGGGCCCGGGGTGGCGGCCCGGGGGTGGCGGGGCCCGGGGGTGGCGGCCCGGGGTGGCGGGGCCCGGGGGTGGCGGCCCGGGGTGGTGGGGCCCGGGGGTGGCGGGGCCCGGGGTGGCGGCCCGGGGGTGGCGGGGCCCGGGGGTGGCGGCCCGGGGTGGCGCGGCCCGGGGTGGCGGCCCGGGGTGGCGGGGCCCGGGGGTGGCGGGGCCCGGGGGTGGCGGGGCCCGGGGGTGGCGGGGCCCGGGGCGGCGGGGCCCGGGGGTGGCGGGGCCCGGGGGTGGCGGGGCCCGGGGTGGCGGGGCCCGGGGGTGGCGGGGCCCGGGGTGGCGGGGCCCGGGGGTGGCGGGGCCCGGGGTGGCGGGGCCCGGGGTGGCGCCCGGGGCGGCGGGGCCCGGGGCGGCGGGGCCCGGGGCGGCGGGGCCCGGGGGCGGCGGGCCCGGGGTGGCGGGGCCCGGGGTGGCGGGGCCCGGGGTGGCGGGGCCCGGGGGTGGCGGGGCCCGGGGCGGCGGGCCCGGCGTGGCGGCCCCGGCGTGGCCGCCGGCGACCAGCCGGGCCCAGGCGGCCGTGGGAGCACGCTCCGCAGGCACAGCTTGCCATGTCCAAGCGGAGATCTGAGCCGATCGTGGGTGCCCAGCCACCCTGTGCAGAAGTGCCCGGGAGACTACATCCCTCCAGCCCATCTCCAGTCAGCCAGCAAAAAGCTGGGGGTGGAGCAGCTGGGAGTCAAGTGGCAGCGCACCAGCCTGGAGAGGAAAAACCCCAGGGGCAGCACCCAGGCCCTGAGTACAAAAAGAAGAAGAAGAAAAAGACACAACTTGCAAACCAGGCACCGGTGCCTGTAATTCTAGCTACTGTGGAGGCTGAGATCTGAGGATCGAGGTTCAAAGCCAGCCCCGCCAGGAAAGTCCTTGAGACTCATCTTCAGTTAACTACCGGAAAACCGGAAGTGGTACTGTGGCTCAAATGGTAGAGCACTCACCTTGAGCTGAAGAGCTCAGGGTCAGCACCCAGGCCCGAAGTTCAAGGCCCAAGACTAGACAAAAAAAGGAGCACAGGCCAGGCACCATGGCTCACGCCTATCATCCTAGCTACTCAGAAGGCTGAGATCTGAGGATCGCAGTTCAAAGCCAGCCCAGGCAGGAAAGTCTGTGATAAACCACTCAGAAAACCAGAAGTGGCGCTGTGGCTCAAGTGGTAGCAGGCTTGCCTTGAGCTGAAGAGCTGAGGGACAGCGCCCAGGCCCAGGCCTCAGGACAGACCCCTCCCCCCCAAATAAAAAGGATACAATTTGTAGGGCTTAATTATGTCCATTGCTTAGGCAGCCCATACAGACCAGGCAGTAGAAGCTCAGAAGGTTTCCCCTCGTCCCGCCCCTGTCACTCTCACAGTGCCTGTGTCCCTAGCAGGAGTGGAGAAGGTTGGCCACTTGGCCACTCCAATTGTTCTGCTCCCATAGAGGAAAGGAGGTTGGCAGGGTATCGCCGGCCTCAGAGGCCAGAGGGAACTGTGTCCATCCATGATTGTGGTACCCAGAGACCAGCAGTTAGCTCCTACCAAACTCTTTTCTGCCTTCTCTTCTCCAGGACAAATTCACCTGCACATTCACCTACGCTTCTCAAGGAGGGACCAATGAGGTAAGTCATTCAAAACCCCAGCTTGACTGTCCAGGGGACGGTGGAGTTGGCAGCTTTCACACTTTGAGCTGTTCTTGCCTGGCTAATAAAAAGAGCCTGCTGCCAGGTGCTGGTCCTAACTGCTCAGGAGGGTGAGATCTGGAGGATTAAACTTCAAAGTCTGCCTAGTCAATTAACCAGCAAAAAGCCAAACTGGAGGCATGACTACAATGGTAGCATACCAACTGTGAGCAAGAAAGTGGAGTGTGAGTGTGAGGCCCTCAGTTCAAGCCCTGTACTACACATACACACGCACACACACACACAAATACCCATTATGATCTCAGGGCTCTGCCAGGCACTGGTGGCTCACGCTTGTCATCCTAGCTACTCAGGAAGCTGAGATCTGAGGATCGCAGTTCAAAGTTAGCCCAGGCAAGAAAGTCTGTGAGACTCTTATCTCCAATGAACCACCAGAAAACCGGAAGTGGCACTGTGGCTCAAGTGGTAGAGCGCTAGCCTTGAGCTGAAGAGCTGAGGGACAGCGCCCAGGCCCAGAGTTCAGGCCCCAGGACTGGACCCAAAAAAAAAAAAAAACAAAAACAATCTCAGTTCAGTGTCCCCAGTAGCTAAAGTCCCAGTTCCCTGGCCACTCTGACACTCTGGGAAGTGTGAACACCTGCTCTTGCTGTTGATAGGACTCAGGCCTTCGCGTTAGGAGGGCTGAGGTCATGTTGCCCTCTGGGCTGTGCTCTCCTCCATGAAGGAATCAGTGGCATGGCCTATATTTGTACAATAGAACATTACTCAGCCAGGAACAGGACAAGGCTGTGACCCATGCCGCCACATAGAAAGACCCTGGGATCACCTTGTTGAATGAGAGAAGCAGACACCAAAGGCCCCACAAATGTGTGCCTCTGTTGATAGGAACTTCCAGAACAGGAGGATCCAGGCCCAGGAAGGAGACTGAGGCTGGGGAGGGAACAGGTGACTGCTCATGAGGAGACAGGGTCTCTTGTTCAGCATTGAGGATGCCTGAAATTCCAGCACAAGGGAGGCTGAGGCAGGAGGAGGCGGAGTTCCAGGCCGTCATCCTAGGTTACTTATTTGATTCATCTTGGAGAACCCCTAAAGAAACCATCCTGCCATATTAAACAGGAGGTGTGCTGGGGGGGGGAGCGGGATCTGAAATCTGTTTTGTTGCTGAGAGGCCTGGGAGCTGGAGCTGGGTGGGGTGGGGTGGGGCGGGGCGGGGGGGGGGGGGGGGGGGGTTCCTGGGGACCTGCCTGGTGCCCCGCGCAGAGCCGCTGAGGCCATGGTAAATGCTGAGCGCTCGCCAGGCGCTGGTGGCTCACGCCTGTAATCCTAGCTACTCAGGAGGCTGAGATCTGAGGATCACGGTTCAAAGCCAGCCCGGGCAGGAGAGACCGGGAGACTCCTATCTCCAATAAACCACCAGAAAACCGGAAGTGGCGCTGTAGCTCAAGTGGTAGAGCGCTCGATTTGAGCTGAAGAGCTGAGGGACAGCGCCCAGGCCCAGAGTTCAA